AAATAAATATATATAATATATTATATAATAATCAAATATTTTCATACGCATGTCTGAACGGTATCGTGCAGGCCATCGCTAGTTCCATTTATATCGCGCTGTTTTTTATATCGTTGTAAAGTTTATAGTAACTGCTGTATAACCTGTATTGAATGATCTGTCAATTTTTGGTAGACTCATAAGCAATCAAGAAGAAAGAATTTAATCTCTATCAAGACTTAAAGTTCACGTTTCGGTTCAAATCAGACCACCTCCTGCAGCAGACGACCTGTGCAAACGCTATACATGCCTTTTCGTTCATGAAAACCATTACGATAGGGCTGAAAGGTTGACCATAATCGAACAGTTTATTATATAGCAGTGTATATGTTGCATTAAGAAACTCTGTTTCGCTTTATTTTTTAGGATGACTAATAACGCAGGAACTGAATATTCCATTTTCGAAAAAAATATCGAGCTTTCCGCATGCCCAAGTATGTTCGGTAATAAAAGACTCATTTAAGAAGAGATTTCATGGCGCACTGCAACGCCCTCATCCTCCGTGCAAGGGGGCGGTGCAATACGCCATGTAAGCGTATCCTGGAGAAATCTTTTTATAAAAAATATGTTTAATAACAGAGATGAGGATTTCCTTGAAAGAGTTTTCAATTCTGGGCCCATAACTCATCACAGACTGTTTTTTCGTTACATGAGGATCGTTACGCATTATTGCACGCTGCAGGGTTTTTAACCATGGAAAGGTTCATCGAGGAAACAGTCTGTTGAACTATATAGATTCCTGCGTCGTGTAGTTGATGCTTTTACAATTCAGACCGATTTAATGTAGACAAACCTCCGTTCAACTGCACGACGCTTTGCTTAATGCCCAATTTTTAGTCATGTTCAGAAGACCGGCTAACTAATAAAGCGAAGAAGACCATGAAAGCTCAAAATGTGATGATGGGTTGGCTTTCAACTGCGTGAAAACCACAGTAATTAGGAGCTGGAAAACAGTTTTTTAAGGGGTAGCAGATGGGCTGAACTGCCCAAGCACTTGCTGCATCTTATGCAATATCAGAGGTTGGCGATGTTATATTAATGCTAGCTCATCCACTGAAGGAGCGACGTCTCTTCAGGATACGATACGGCAACCTGAAGACGATTCTTACAGGGAGAAAGAGGAAGAGACGAATGGAGTTACGATAGTATTATGCAAGTTCATCTACCGACAACAAGTATAGTATAAATAGATACCATAAAGAAATAAAACCAACTTCTTCATAAACAGCATAAAGTAAACCAGTCCCTGCAGTCTTTTTAAATAGTTTAGTTACCTCTGCTCCTTTCCAAGCAAGCCGGTCACATGCCCTTGGGAACTTTTTGTCCTAGGTGCGAACTGTGGGCCTCTCGGTTTTTGTATAGAACAGTTGGTGCATCCGGTCTTCCTCACTGACAGTACTTACTTCTGTGTTTGTGCCTTAAGTCATTCTCGGAAGACCCCTCCGTCAGATTAAGAACTTGATTTCCAGCTGGCATTAGACGGCTGACGCTGCATTGCTATTAGAATAACTCATGCTTTTATTTAGGTAGACCAGTTGCCCAACCAATGGGTCAGTTTCCTGGCGAAGTTACGCTGAAACCACCTTGTCAACAATAAACAGGTTCAAGCCCATACCAAGCTATGCTGAACGATAACAGAATGTCAATTTCCCTAAACTGTTCAATCACTGAGGTAACCCGTGTGCACATCTGCGTCCTAGTCAGTGCTTATATTCCCTATGCCGTTGTCTCACACAGCGAGGTAGTCCATAAGACGGCTTTGACAAGTAAAGCAAAACCTACCAGAGCGAAGGAGGAGAAATCAGAGCTCTGTCTTAGAGGTATTAAATAAATACCCAGACTTTACTGCCCTTGTTCTGTCATCAAAGCAGATGAACAACCTTTTCGTTCTGTGCACTTAAAAAATAATTTCTGACACTTAGTAATAGGTGATATGAAGGTAATGATAGGTGACACAGTTATGGGGGACAAACATGCAATAAACGTGAAACGCTGAACAATAGCCAAAGAAGCTTCTTTAGCACTAATTCAGCATTGTATCGAAGGGAATTTTACAGAAAATGATCTCACAAGTAAGTGATTATCATGACGTACACACTGTGAGATATTATTCATAACATGTTCCATATTCAACATTGTAAGTACCTAAATATGTTCCAATAACCGAAGAGGATTCGTCGAAGTATTCTTTGGTGCATGCCAAATACGGCACTGTCGCCAGAGAACCTTGTAAAATTTCGATCACGTACGGAGTTCGTCTGTACACCTTCATGCACGTATAGCCATGATCACTGAAAGTAAGCGTGTTCAAAGCAAAAACAGTCCTGATGGCAGCAATGCTGAATGATTGATTACCAGCCGTTGACGGTGTACAGTACGAACTGGCTCATGGCCCCGAAGTTGTCAGCCTGGATGCAGGTGCTGATCGATGTGTTGGAGCGGCTGTTCGTGTCGTACACCACCAGCTCGTGTCGTTGAAAATGGTAGGTTTCGGTCGAGTGCAGCGATTCCCACAATCGAGGACGATTCTTTTCGTTGTGCTTCTGAACAAGCCAGTGCATGAAAGAGCACTGCGCTGTTGGATAGTGTTCTAGAATAAAAAAAAACAGTGCTGTTGTTGAAATAAAAATTGTAAAA